TTTCTAGTAATTGTCTGTCTGCCAGTCTGTCTATAGATCAGAGAAAAAGATCTTGAGAGATTTGGGATTTTGAATATTAGTTGAGCAGTTTTATAATGATAATGAATACATCCCATTGATATATAGAGTGTAATTTATGGAAACTGCCATTTCCAAACATAATTATTTACCCACCTATACAATTTCTTCCATTTGGTCCTAGCTGGAGCCCACTCGATGGGCACAGGCACCTCACTTCCCCCTTGACTTCTTCACAGCCATATTGGCAGTTTGCCACAGCACAGGTTCTGGAGTCTGAGAAACACAATTTATAGCATAGAGTTTTAATTATGACCGTGTCCTGCAAAATGTCTTCATTTCACTAACACTCTGTAAATTAGATGTATTTAGAGAAAGATGTATAAACTAACTTCTTCCCAGTGTTTTATGGGAAATGAATTGTTGCCATACTGGCTCTAGAGGAAATGATGGCCATTGTAGTTTGTGATAATGTTTTGGAGCTCAGATTTCTTCGGAGCAAGATATACAGTAATGGCTAATTTCATTGCATATAGGATTATTCACTAAAGTGAAAATTCAAGAGAATTTAAAATTGAATGCCAGAGTAGCTGAATTTGAAGCATGGCTTTTCAGTTCGGCTATTATAACCTTAAATTCGAAAATCATTTGAATTCATCTTGAATTCTCACTTTAGTGATTAACTTCAATAAAGAACTGTTTGCTCTGTAGAATTTCTGAACTTGTGGTGTGACTGGGAGCAAGACATAGATTGTTGTGCAGACCAGTGGGTGGGCTGAGTAATAGAGTTTAGAATGTTTTGCCCCATTAAAGATAATTTAACATAGGTTTAACAACTGCAGAGGGATTGGCATAAAATAAATTGACTTTAACCTATTTTGATATTACAACATAGAAATCTGGAACAAAACGATGTACGAGTAAACTATTAATGCCATTAGCACAATTTTAGTTCGTATTAATAATTTGCAGAGGAATAGAATGGACATAGTATATTGTCTATACAGAAACAGGTATCGGCCAAGTTATCTTAAAAACTCAAATTACATGAAAACAGAAAAATATAAACATATGTAATAAACAAAAGTGTACCACGTAGAATATTCCATAGTATTATACCAACATTATTGTTAATATACCTAATTAAGAAAACAAAAAGTAAGATGGTATTCAAATATAACTGGGAGTGAATCCAATAGAACTTTTACAGAGAGAGGAACAGAGGGTGGTGTTGATTTAAAATGACCAATTAAGTCATCTTTACCTCAATACCATTGCCGTGAGAGCAAATATTGCAAAAACATGTGATGGGATACGCAGATTCCTGCTCCCAATTGATATTTAGGCTCCTCACACATAGCAAGTACACAAATACTGCAGATTGTGAGATGCTGTTGTAACGCTGCATTTGCCACTGGAATGGGACACAGAGGTGTATTTACCATGAGGCTGACAAGGCATTTGCCTTGGGCGGCACTTTCTACCTCTTGTCTTGGGGGCCCAGGAGCTGGCCGGCTGGCCACACCTCAGGACCCCCCAGGCTGGCAGCGGCGACACTTTCCATGCAGGCAGCGAGGGAGCACTGATCCTCCTGTTCAGCTCCCATGCGAGCACCGCAGTGATGCCGGAGCCGGAATATGACATCACTACGCGGCGCGTGAGGGAGCTGAACAGGAGGATCAGTGCTCCCTCGCCGACTGCAGGGAGGAGCAGTAAAAGTAAATCTATTCATTTATATTATTTTTTTGTAAATATAAATAGTTTAAAAATATATTTTAAAAAAATTACTGCGGCTTTTCTTTTTCCCTCTGTTACTTTGTGTCACTTGATCTCTGAATAAAATGGTGGGAAAACCAGTGTACTGCAAAGTAAATTCACATTTTTTAAATCCTGTATATATTTTGCAGTACACTGATGGACTCTTGTTTTTCAAAATCTTTTGTACAGACCAAATTCTGACAAGCTGAACCACCACATGCACAAAATTCGGATGTTCCAAAAAAAAATTTCTTTTCTTGATAAAGTGGTTCAGCTTAAACAATTTTTTACACCATGCAAGTCCAGTGAGTACACATTTCACGTTTTGTTGATGAGATTTCTACTTTTACATCTTTGCTTATAACACTGGCTATAATGCTTCAGCATTCATTTTAATTATGCTCCCAAATTAAGCAGATTTTAAATAAAAATCATGAAACATCACTGTGATCTAAATTTCTGATTGCTGAAAACATGTTCCACATTTTCTACTCCTTGGACGTGTAACGATGAGATGAGGACTCAATCTGTACATTTACCAGAACAGGGCAGTTCCAGAGACTATCCATAACTAGCCTATTATAGGATTTAAACACATTTTTTTCTGCTACATTAATAAATATGTCCATCACACATACTGGAGAATGCTTATAAAATTATTCTATTTTTTTCTACCTTGTTTTATATCAGGCTTTCTGAAAACATAATACTAATGAATTAATACACTTGGGTTTCAGCTGCAACTTGTAACGGATATCTAGTAAAATACACCCATACATGTATATTTCTAGGTAACTCACTTGAACAGGAGCCATCTGGCATGAGCATATACCCATTAAGACAATAGCACTTGTAGCTGCCATATGTATTCATACATCTATGCTCGCAGGGTCGTGGCTTCAGGCCGCATTCATTCATATCTGCAAAAGACATTTAATTCAGACATATTTAGACACATTTTATTGAATTATTCTGCCAAGGCACAGGTTACAAGCTCCAAGAGCTAAAATGGGTTCAATTTGAGTTCATAAGGTTTTGAAAAAACCCTCCTAAAATGTGAATTGGGAATATAAACTGCACCACCCATTGTCTTGTAAATTGTTAATGTGATTCTAACAAATTAAACACAGCACAACTATAGAAGGAAGGATGTAACGCCTTCATAGCCTTCAGACCATGAGAGCCCCAACAGGAAAATATGATCCTGATTAAATAAAGATTTAGAAATAGCTCCGGATTGCAAATAATTATTAAATGAATATTGGTATAAATAATCATAAATAATGGGACACAGCTAGGACAAATAACAGCTGCCACTATTCATTCGCATACTCCCAATCATGAAATACTGGCGGAAGAGCTGGGGAGACATAATTACTTTGTTTCTGTATTGTTAGCCCCTCTCCAGGCATATTATTGGGAGAGGGCTGAATTAAGCAGCTGTAACATCTATATTGGGGTGCCACCCTAGGGATTGTCCTTACACACTACACAGTTGCAGTCAAGGTCAAATTTGATTTTTGTTTCGTTATTGCTTTTTGTACACCGTTAATGTGATTGTTTGTGATTTGGGTTTGGCTGACCCTATCTTGATGATGATGTTTTGTGTTACTACTATTTGTGTTAGGTTCTTTTATTAGGGATTCCCTTGTTTCACGATTATTCAGTTTTCTTTCCTATTCGGTAGACTTATTTTTTTCATTTTTCTTTAAACTGGGTGTCTAATCTCATAGATGAGCCTTAGCATTTGCCTCAGTGCTGCATTGCACCTGGGAATTAAATGATCCGCATAAGGATTTAACCTTGAATCAATCAGTGGTTCAGGAACATTTATGAACTAAACACTTTGACTTATCATGGTGATAAACTGTCAAACCTACATGTAGGTATATACAAAAATTTATCAATTATCCTTACAATGTCAGATCAAAAAATAGCTCATTCAAAACATATACATAGTGTAGATTTGTCTGTTTGAGCTTGCATTGTTTTCCTTGGGCTTTTTTAGTGATGAATCACCAGTCATTAACAAGACATCCATCTAACATTCCTTTGCATTGCTGAAGAGCACATGAAGGTTGCAGAATTAACCATTACACACCCAACATATAGACATACATTGATTTTGCAACAATATTTGCAACAATTGTCCCTATAGAGCCACGTTTCCCAAATGGTGTTCTGTGAGAACACAAACTGGGTTCTACATTAATTTCGGGAAACAAAATGGCCACCGCAATAATTGAGGCGGGCGGCGAGGGAGCTCTCTCCCCTGCTCACCTCCCTCGCACGTACAGCCATTATGCCGGAGCCGGAATATGAAGTCACTCCGGCCCCAACATCACTAAGAGGCGTGCAAGGGAGCTGAGCAGGTAGATCACTCCGCATGCCAGCCGCTCAGCCCAGCAGCCCAACCAGACCTCAGAGACTGCACACCAGCTGCTCAGTCCAGCAGCCCCACTGGACCCCAGGGACTGCACACCAGCTGCTCAGCCTAGCAGCCCCACTGGACCCCAGGGAAATAGAGACTCCAAGCCAGCACTCCCAAAGGTACAGAGGCTGGGTGGAGTGAAATTTAAAAAAATGAATAAATTGTGTGTGTGTCTGTTAATGAGTTTGTATATGTGTTTGTCAGTGAGTGTGTGTATGTGTGTTTGTCACTGAGAGTGTATGTGTGTTTGTCACTGAGGGTGTGTGTGTATGTGTGCTTGTCAGTGTGTGTATGTGTGTTTGTCACTGAGAGTGTGTGTTTGTCCATGAGTGTATGTTTGTCAGTGAGTGTGTGTGTATGTGTGTTTGTCAGTGAGTGTGTATGTGTTTGTCAGTGAGAATGTATGTGTGCTTGTCAGTGAGAGTCTATGTGTTTGTATGTATGTCTGTCAAAGAGTATGTGTGTCTGAGTGTGTCAGTGTGTGTATCCGTGTGTCAAGGTTTGTGTATGTGTCACTGTGTGTGTCTAAGTGTGTGTGTATGTCAGTATATGTGTATTGGTGTGTGTGTATATGCCAGTGTATATCAGTGTGTTTGAATGTGCCTATGTGTGTGTGTGTCAGTGTGTGTGTATCTGAGTGTGTGCCAGTGTGTGTATATGACACTGTGTGTATGTGTCAATGTGTGTATCTGAGTGTGTGTATGTGCCAGTGTGTGTATATGTCACTGTGTGTACCTGAGTGTGTGTATTTGTGAGTCAAGATGTGTGTGTCACTGTGTGCATCAGTGTGTGTGTGTATCGGTGTGTGTGTCAATGTGTGTCTGTGTGCATCTGTGTGTCAGATACATACACACACACACACACACACAGATACACATTGACACACGGATACACACACTCAACACACATACACACACCTTGATACACAGACACACACCGGCACATACAAACACGGATACACACACTTTGACACACAGATTCAAATACACACACAGATACACACTGTGTGTATCTGTGTGCCATTATGTGCCAGTGTTTGTGACATTGACACACAGATACACACATTGGCACACACAAACACAGATACATACACCTTAAAGGGATGCTCCATTGCCAGGAAAACATTTGTTTTCCTGGCACTGCAGGACCCTGTAGTGCCCCTCTCCCTCCCACCCCCCATCCCAAGTTGCTGAAGGGGTTAGAACCCCTTCAGTGACCTACCGGAGTCCAGCGCTGATGACCTTGGTGCTGGTCAGGCTCCGCCTACTCTTCTCCTAATGGCCACGCATTAGACCTCCCCCTAGGAAAGCATTATTCAATGCTTTCCTATGGGGATTTTGGCGATGCTGGAGGTCCTCACATAGCGTGAGGACGTCCAGCGTTGCTTAAAACACTTTTCGTGTTTTAAGAAGGCGGAAGTCCCTCTAGTGACTGTTAGACAGCCACTAGAGGAGGACTTAACCCTGCAAGGTAAATATTGCCGTTTATGAAAACTGCAATAATTACACTTGCAGGGATAACGGTAGGTAATAGAGTTAATGGGCAGAAGTGGTCTGGGTGCCTCGAGTATCCCTTTAACACACAGCGGCACATACAAAAAACGGTGCACTTTTTTCTTTTTATACGGGGGGAGCGGGAAAGGTTCCACGATGTTGATACACTATGTCAAAGGGTTTCACGGGAAAAATTAACTGGGAACCCCTGCCATGGAGAGGACACCAAAAAGGGAATGCCTCCAAAAGAATAAAGTAGAACATGTAAGTGTTTGTTGATTTGAGCTTTATTCAGATATTTTGAAATATAAAATATAAAGATAAACATAAATTGAACATAAGACAAAACAAAGTAAAAAAAACACTGGGAAAATGTCAGGAGATTAAAGCAATTCTCCCTGGGGCAACAATAAATTGCTTTAACCCCTTAAGGACACATTTTATTCCAGAAGCTTGGTCCTTAAGGGGTTAATGTCTTAACGATATATGAGTAAGGAGTGTAAGCAATGCAAAACCAACTGATTAGTGAAAGTGTTAACTGGTAAGGCGTGTAAAACCAACTGATTAGTGCAGGTTCTAATTGGTAAAATGGAAAGAATTGTGAAAAAGGAGGGAATAGGAGAGGTAAAGAAAAAAGTGGAAAAGGAGGGAAGAAAGGAAAAGAGAAGAGGGGGAGGTGAAAGAAAGAAAAAGTTTCAGAACACATTTAAGGGGACACTCCCCATTTACTCAAGCACCTAATCGGGTACACTCCCCCCATAATATCAATCGAACCATTACAGCAAACCACTATTGGAAAGGCATTCCCTCTTAAATAGATGCAACCTTCTCTGTTAAATTTAACAAAAAATTATCCCTCTCTCAACATGACACCTAAAAAAGGAAGGATACAAAATCTAGACAAAAATAAATCTATAAACACTTATTATTCGCCTAAGAACTCGGGAAGACAAACGGAACCCAGAAGCTCACTGTGTAGCCCAGAAATGAATTAACCAAATCTCACTAATGTTGAAAACCTACAAGAATAACCCGAACAATACACTCTTTTAACAAACAAATGTGTGACGGAATTAATTGATAACCGGCACAAAAAAAAAATTAAACAAGACATGACAAGGCTCAAGGACACATTTAGAGAAGAAACTAATCAAATTCTCCATTCCATATCACTTCAAGCAGAAACAATAAAAAACCTGCAAGATAATTATAAACTGCTGTCAATTAAACACAAAATCTTAGAAAACAAATTGAAAGATCTGGAAGCAAAATATTGAATTGGAACACAGAGCCCGAAGAAAAAGTATAAGAATTAGAGGTATAGCGGAGGATTATACAAAAGAAAAACTAGAAAAATTCCTAATGGACTTATGTTCATTAATTCCCTTATCTAAATTGGGTCAATTCCCCTTTGAACGATACCATCGCTTAACAAAAGCCAAAGGCGTAGCTCAGCACCTACCCAGAGAAGTAATAGTAAGATACGATTTTCCAAAGGCGTAGCTCAGCACCTACCGAGAGAAGTAATAGTAAGATACGATTTTCCAAAGGCGTAGCTCAGCACCTACCGAGAGAAGTAATAGTAAGATACGATTTTCCAAAGGCATAGCTCAGCACCTACCGTGAGAAGTAATAGTAAGATACGATTTTCCAAAGGCGTAGCTCAGCACCTACCAAGAGAAGTAATGGTAAGATAAGATTTTCTTCTAACCATATTGCCTACAGATGGGGGGTTTCCAGCAGCCTTGATTATTCAACAAGAAAACTCATCCTTGATGTTTAAAGATACTTCCCGTTCCCAAGTACGCCAGAAATTAGTAAAAATTGGACTAAACAAAGGAAATGATACTCAAGATCAACAATCAACAAAATATAATAAGACTCTAAAAGGGATATGAATATTGATGAATATTGAGTATATATTGCTACAGTTAAAGCTGAGGAAATACATTTTGTTTTTCCTTCCCCTCCTATTTCTCTGTTGGGTTAACAGATATTTACGATATGCTACTCTTTTAAAGGATTTCACAACGTTAAAAATAGTATAGGTGGGGGGCGGAGTTTGACCACCAACCTGACAAGACGCCATGCTGATAAGCTCCTCCGAGCAACATCAAAAATCCACGGATACCCCGCAAAAGAGAGCCCACCCAGCTCTAAAAAGTGGATAGCTGAACACACCAACAGCCCCTGAGGCGACAGATGCCTTTTTTTCTGGCACCCAACCAGCCGAAGCGGAGAAAGAAAACCGGGGCCTACTCCACGCTGACACTACCTGGAGTAGGCCTGGAGGTGCTACTTACACAACAAGTAAGAAACGATCCCCCCAGGATCCATACTGATGCCCACGCCCAAATGCCAGCTATGGGCCGCCGCTCCCAGAAATCGGTGGCGTCGGACCACAGGGACATAAAGACACTGTTCCAACGACCGGCACAGCCTAAAACTGCACCCGCGGAAACCCCGCGACCAACCAACCACAACTACCCGGGAGAAGAAACGGGGTCTGACCGCTTACCGGCCGCCCAATCGAGGCCGCATGAAATCCCCACTGACTCCACACCGACAACCAGGCAGGACCTAAAGGTCCTACTGTCAAACTTCCACGAAATTCTGGCGGCGGAACTCGCACCAATAAAACATGACATGAAGGCCATCACTGACCGAGTGCAGGCCTCAGAAACAGATATAGCAGATATGCGAACGCACATCTCAGAACTCCAGAACTCACTGCAGCAGGTCTGGTCCCACCAGAACACCATGTCCACACAGATAACGGCAATGGCAGACCGTCTCCACCGATCCAATATAAAAATAAGGGGCATTCCCACAGCAGTAACAGAGGACGAACTGCCTCACTATGTTAGGCGCCTACTGGCCTCTATCCTGCCTCACGCAGTATCTAAAAAGCTGACGGTGGAGGGGATCTACCGCCTACCTGGACCCACGGGGGGACCAACTAACATGGCAAGAGACGTCATACTAAGGTGCCTCACAGTGCACGACAAAATCCTCATTATGTCTGCAATTAAAGGCAAAACGCCTCTATACTTTGAAGAGGCTCATCTCTCGTTTTATCAAGATCTCACAAAGGCAACCCTCCTCTGGCGCAAAACATTCCAACCTGTAACAAGCCTTTTACGTTCAACAAACATAAGCTACAGGTGGGGAACGAACGGATCCTTAACGGTGACCCAGAATGGAAACCTACATACACTTACTTCGATGGAAGACACAACACCATTCCTCACAGCACTGGGCCTGGAGCCACTGAGGACCAACACACCCCCAAACACCTCCACTCCCATTTGGAATCCGGACAAGACGGTGACCTTTGTCCCGAGGAACGAGAGCGTGAGAACGACGGACCCAGGACCAAGATTGAGAGCCGACCCAACATAGGGTACACGGAAACACCTGAGGACTGCCTGGCCAGGCACAACCGCTCCAAGTCTTACAAGAGACTATATGTTCAGTTATTTACTATTAATATCACCTTCTGTGCTTCCCCTCTCTCTCCCCTTCCCGCATAATTTCTTATTACTACAACCGTTAGGATCAACACCAGCTCCAGGGCGCACAACACGACTAGTGGAGGGGAACACATATACGGTACCAACCATCCCACAACTGAAATCACTCAAACTCCCCCTACACAAACAAACTAGTGGGCACCCTAGAACACCCACACTCCATATCCCCCCGACACTCCCTTGGTCACGAGTGCTCACCCGGAGTGCATAGATTTAGTCAGGACACAGTCAGGACACAGCCCTGATTCCGGGTCCTGACAGCCATGTCATCTCGGATACTACCTAAAAGACCACACTTACTCTATGCACATACTGCAGCCTAGTCAAGCACGCAGATACGCAAATATATGTTGCAACTCCGGCCCAGTAACGCTCACATGCACCCCCAACATAGGGACACAACACCCTTAGGTAAGCGGAGAAACAATACGCAGCCACACATCCCTCAAACATAGGGAAACTCGCAAGTTACCTAAGTTTCTGCAAGCACATTAAGATGTAAACTGTGTAAGTCCTTACTGTATACTCCCTAACACCAATACGGCACATTTCCCTAATATGACATGCCTACGTACCCTCCATACCTTGTGCTGGAACATAAAGAATCACATAAGAGATTAGCGTAGTAAGGGACTAGAATTGCATGTAGTCAGGGCCAGTGCAGTAACTTTGATTCTCCTTTGCAAGTCTACCAAGTTACACACATGCCTTATAACCAAGCGATTTAGGCATTTATGGAATTAACATGGCCTCACCTCCTCCCGTGCCATCGCGGGGTTATATTTTTGTTGCTCTATGTTGCCTAACATTAGCCAAATCGATATGCCAGCAAAGCCACCTCCAACTGGGAGTCAGGGTTGGCT